CACCCCGCTATCTAAATTAGCACTGGCACGAGTAAGAAAATGGAAAAGAGAGTTGGTGCCATTACACACCCTTGTTTAATCCCCGTTCGGATGGGGAAGAAATCAGACTGGGTGCCATTGTTCAGGACGCTGCCGTGGAGATGCCTCATAATGGCGATGAGTTTTGGTGGGCAGCCAAAACGGCTGAGGGTCTGCCAGAGGGCTTCCCTGGTGACTGAGTCGAAGGCCTTGGTTAGGTTGATGGAGGCCATATACAGGTCACGAAGCTGTTCTCTGCACTTTTCCTGTATCTGACGGGCAGCAAAGATCATGTCAGTGGTGCCACGTGATGGTCAAAAGCCATATTGAGATCCTGGGAGGAAGTTTTCCGCCTCAGGAAGAAGTCTGTTTACATAAGAAAGAAAGAACATAAGAATGGAGGAAACTACAGCAGGCCTTTTGGACCATACTGGGCAGTCCCATTTACACCCAACCCTGGTGTATTCATTTGATCTGGCCGAGGGTCTCTCTGCAGGATTTTGTCATAACACTGTTGAGAGTATCCCATTCGACACTGGGATTTGCGTTGTTTGCTATTGGGTTGTTTATAAGCCCTTGTTTGAACTGCTCTCTTAAAGCATGTGCTACTGCTGGATCCTCCAGACGCTTAGTATAAAAAACCTTTTCTGGAGGCTTATTGCCTTCGCCATTTTGGGACAACGTGAAATGAGAGCTTGTTTCTGACAAGTCGATGATCAGTGTCACAGTGGTCTGAGCCACGCATGGCACGGGTGATGAGGACATCTCGGCGATCTCTTTCTCTGACAATGATGTAGTCAATGAAACGCGAGTGTTTGGATCGTGGGTGTTGCCATGAACCCTTGAACTTGTCAGCCTGCCTAAACAAGGTATTGGTGATAGTGAGGTTGTGTGCAGCACACTTGCTGAGGAGGAGTAGGCCGTTGGGATTACACTTGCCTAGTCTATTTCTCCCTATGATTCCCTGAGTTGCATATTTAGTATGAGAGAATAATCAAATGAAGATAGGACTACTCGCTAAGGTATTAACAACCATTACTACATATATATATATATATATATATATATATATATATATATATATATATATATATATATATATATATATATATATATATATATATATATATCTTCAGCAATGGACTTTTTGCGTGGAAAGCGTAGTTTTATAACGAAGAGGAGAACCAGGGTAAACACAAACATCTTGAAGCAGTGCTTCTTTTAATTGCTAACGTTTCGGAAATAATCCTTTTCCATCATCAGAACCTAAAAAGTTTGAAAAATTTAAAAAATACAGGTGATATACAATAAAAACATAATATTATACGAAAATTTACCTTGGATAAACTTTAAAAATTAAAAAAAGAGCAATCCAATTCAAAACCGACAAAAATGGCGAGAGACCTACATACAAAGCTAAAATCAGGAAATAAAAAGTATGAAATATAATATACAGGGGGGTATTACCTTAATTCAGACGAGCCTTAGTGCGAAAAACACAATTCGCTAGAGGCCATATCACAAAGCGATGGCTTTTCTTTATACTGGTGTAATGCCTCCATAATGAGGTCTGTATCACAGTCGCTCTTGCCAAGAACGAGAAATCAGACGGCGAAAACGGGTGGTCATGTCGGTGGGCGTGGTTACGAATAGCTGACTGTGGTGGTTGTGTTATTAAATGGCCTGTTCGAACGGAAAGGCCCAAGTGTTCATGGATGCGAGTTATCAAACGTCTTTTAGTTTTACCTATATATGCTGCCCTACGGCTAGCACACGTAAATTGATAAACAACTGAAGATTGCAGGTGTGTGGGTATGATATCTTTAATTTTAAAGAATTTCTTAATTGAACTCTGGGTTTTAAAGATTAGTCTAAGAGAAATTTGTGGATAGAATTCATTGAAAAGCTTCTTAAGTTTATTTCTAAGGGTGAAACCGAGTGGGCCTGTGTACGGGATGGTGAAATAGATATTTAGGGACAGTGGATTTGAGGTTGTGTGAATAAACCTATTAGGGTTAGTATTCTGTTGGTAAGAGTACTACTAGATTACGTTTGTAATTAAGAGGAATAACAGATGAAAATTTTGAACTCAAACCAGTGAAAGTTGGTTTTCTGTATAAGGCTGTCTCGAAACTATTATGAAGACGAGGGATATTAACATCAAGGAATGGAAGAATATTTTCCTTTTCCAATTCACAAGTGACTTACGTATTCTATTTGGCTCCGCATCACAACCTTGGGAGGACATTTTCTGATGGAATTTTTTTCGAATTATTATTACCACACACACACACACACACACACACACACACACACACACACACACAAACACACACACACATTCTAACAAATATCCCATGCGGTTTCTTAACGATAATACGATGTTGGAAGTTATTAAATAAGGCTTTTTGCTTTTAGTTTCATACTATTCGCGGCACCAGCAGTTGTTTATATCTAGATAAAATATGAGTATGAAATATAACATTGCCTGTAAATTTTGTTCATTAAACTTTAATTTTTTCTCGTCATCGTAATGTGACAGATCACTTTCATGATGACCTCAGAGATAATATTTAGACGCCCTCGGAGGCTTACCTGACATTTAGTAATAATTATGACACGACTTGAAAGAAATGTGAAGGAGTAAAGATGGGTCCCAGAGCTCTCGTACACACGTAAGCAGCTTGGTAGGTAATGCACTTAACCACATACCCCATTGTAAAGTTAGGTGCAGTATACTGTATATAGCTGGGTGGACGGCAGTTGTCCCTTCATCGATCCGCCACATATCTTTCATAACTCTGTCATCTGATATTGCCGTTCCGTTCGAACAGGCCATTTAATAACACAACCACCACATTCAGCTATTCGTAACCACGCCCACCAACATGACCACCCGTTTTCGCCGTCTGATTTCTCAGTTCTTGGCAAGAGCGACTGTGATACAGACCTCATTATGGAGGCATTACACCAGTACAATAAAAACGCCATCGCTTTGTGATATGGCCTCTAGTGAATTGTTATGTTTTTCACATTAAGGCTCGTCTGAATTAAGGTAATACCCCCCTGTACATTTTATTTCATACTTTTTATTTCCTGACTTTAGCTTTGTATGTAGGTCTCTCGTCATTTTTGTCGGATTTGAAGTGGATTGCTCTTTTTTAAATTTTTGAAGTTTATCGAAGGTAAATTTTCGTATAATATTATGTTTTTATTGTATATCACCTGTATTTTTTAATTTTTTCAAAACTTTTTAGGCTCTGATGATGGAAAAGGATTATTTCCGAAACGTTAGCAATTAAAGAAGCCCTACTTCAAGATGTTTGTGTTTACCCTGGTTCTCCTCTTCATTATAAAACTACGCTTTCCACGTAACAAGTCCATTGCTGAAGTTATATAAATATATATATATATATATATATATATATATATATATATATATATATATATATATATATATATATATATATATATATATATATATATATATATATATATATATATATATATATATATTTCTCCTGCTACTGTATAAGCAACAGCAGCAGGCTACGCGGTGCAGCAGGTAATGGGTTACTCCGCCTCTTGGCAGGTTGCCAGGCCACCCAAGCGTTGTTCCACCACCAACAACAACGCACCTAACAGTGGCTCATTTACTTCAAAGTGCACAAAGACCATTTGCTCCTTTGATAAATGCTCTACGAACTAGGCACTGTGTGAATACGTGTGTGTGTGTGTGTGTGTGTGTTTTAGTCACATGCAAAAAATAATTTCACGAAATGACCAAGCATTTCGCTTAATAGTAAATTTCAGTCATTACATGAAATGACTGGTTATATAGATTAACTGTGACAAATATAAGGTTCTTATTTAGCGGTTGTCAGATAGTGCAGGCAGTCAAATTTTCCCACGCACCAACATTAATTGTACCGAGTATCCTGCGGGCTACCTTGTAGAGATTCTAACAGTCACAATACTGTACTGTACCAGTTTGTGTATGTTACCGCAACCCTTACAGTGGAGGCCGACGAGTGTCAAGTCACGTCTCTGACCTGTTGGTTGTGCTCTATTTTTTGATGATTAATAAACCATCTTTTATATATTATCTGAAAGGGTACAGTTATTAAGTGAGTAGTTTTTATAGTACATCCCAAAGAGTAAGTGAATGAAACTAAACATCTACAAACTGAATATCTTGAGTTTTGTTAAGACAAGAAAAAGACAATTGCATTGTATCAGTTAAAATTTATTACTCAGTTGTACGCAGAATAATCAATCGAACTGTGTTTGTGTGTACACACGCTCATACACACACACACACACACACACACACACACACACATATATATATATATATATATATATATATATATATATATATATATATATATATATATATATATATATATATATATATATATATATATATATATATATATATATATATATATATATATATCCCTTCAACATCTTACTTCAATCTTTCTCACCCACCCACGTCTCAGCTTCTCCCTCCTCCCACCGTTAATCATCACATCACTACACAAGTTACCCCTCTGGTACCTTGTAGTGCAGTAATATATTGTTAAAATCATCATGACAATTCCATAACGCCCACCCATAGTAATATTTTCAAAAGAAAGTCCAGACTATAATCACGTACTACTTTCGTGTTTCAATCTTTCTGTGAAATATAATTTCACAATTTGTTGGTTGATTGAGTGAGTTTTATAATCCTGCTAAAGAGTCGTTTTGTTGGTAATAACACGTGGGAATGTGGCATAATTATATCTTTGACTGATTGTAAGGAAACCCCAAGTTTTTTATACTATACTGTACGCTCTGTACATATGATCACCATCACATAAGTCACGTACACCTTTTCATTAATTTAACAAAGAGAGAGAGACAGACAGACAGAAAGAGAACGGGCTTACTTTGCTCAGTTGGGTATTCAACAACAACACAAGATACGCCACACTTTATTCATGGCTGCGTCTATTCAGGAAGCCACAGAGAGAAAGTCGAAACACTGAAGAGTACTGACCTGCCCCTACAGGAGTGGGTGGGGGGGCATGGTGCCTCTTGCCTTGGGTCATGTACTTCTTCTGGCGGGCGCGGTTGTTCTGGAACCATACCTGAACGTGAATAAAAATTACGGTAAGTATATAATTAGCTTGATGGACCTCGAAACTACGTACGTGTTAAAGGGAAGTTTGTTATTAGGTTTTGGATTTAGGTGGTCTTAGTTATCAATTGTTTTGGCACAGTACGCACTATGTACTTATCCTCTCCATCCATCTATCAATCAATCAAGTCTTATCCAGATGCAGGTACCCGTCAGCCACCCGTTCTCCTTATATTCTAATCCATCAAGCGGCCCTTCTTGTTTTCTACACACCATGCGTCCCATCAATCAGTACCCGCGCACCCCACACCTCATCCATCCATCATCATCATCATGAAGTTGTCCCAACCCACCTGCGTGACCCTCTTGCTGAGGCCGGTGATCTGGGCGATCCTCTCTAAGTCTTGGCCGTCGGGGTTGGAATCGATCTGGAAATTTGCCTGGAGTACCTGTAGTTGCTCGTCCGAGAAGGTGGTGCGCACTCGCTTACTCTTCGCTTTACCACTGCCGTCACTCTCTGTGGAGTGTAACACCCAAGTTCCATTGTAGAACTATTTTATATTCCTTTTTTATGTATTTTTGAATGCAAGAAAAATACAATGTAAAAAAACTGACGAATATTTATTCGCCAGGACGCGTCTGTCGTCAGTAGGAGTGCGACGGCGGAAAGCAAAAGTTTAAAGCAACATAGTGTCTAGTCTGACGAAAATGTACGCCGAGTAACCTAAGGAGGCTCCACAGAGATGTTTTGGGTATGAATGAATTATATTGTATGTTGAGTCTGTGTATTGTGGAAGTTGGATAGTAAATGACTGGTTGTATTAAAACTAACAGTTCTTCTTTACTATAAATATGGGGGACGCTTGTAGGAGTTATTTGTAGGCAGTTTTGACATTTCAATTTATTTTAAGACATTTTATAGTCTTCTTATGTTGACTAATTTGGTGTAAATTGGAGTTGTAGTAGACAGCTGCTACTCACCGTCATTGCTGGAAGCGCCACCCTCGATGGATTCTAGGTAGTGTTGTTTACAGAGGAGGCGGTTGTCGTGTAGAGCAAACTCTTCACCTGTGCTGAGTTGCCGCTTGCAGGCGTCACACGCAAAGCAGGCAAGATGGTAGACACGGTCCCGTGCTCGCCGCACCCAGTCAGCTGCACCAATGCTGCGGCAACATTTAGCGCACCGCGCACCGAAGTTTCTGCCGCAGAGAAATATTACCCAGGTAACATGGTGATATAAGACAAACTTCTTCAGGGTAAAATTAAGAAAAACAATAAGAAAAAATAATTGAGGAAGGAAATATTGAGTGAAACCTGGTAAACTTTAGGTCTAATGGTTTAGTTATATAAGACAACTCAAGTTGGCCTTATGGATAAGTTATATAAGACAACTCAAGTTGGTCTTGTGGATAAGTTATATAAGAGAAACCAAGTTGGTTTTATGGATAAGTTATATAAGACAACTCAAGTTTCTCTTTGTGATATATATATATATATATATATATATATATATATATATATATATATATATATATATATATATATATATATATATATATATATATATATATATATATAAAGTCCGTCGTAAGGAAGCCCAACTTTCTTCCGCGGAGAAATTAAGAACTGCTACGAGCTACAAGTTTTACCCCAAGAAGTTACCTTGGTGACGAAGTAACTTTGTGATTATAACTGCTGACAACGACTGGTCAAGAGTAATCAGTGGTTCCGAGACTCAACTGACTTTATTTTATCACATCCTTCCATCCGTCCACCAATCCTACTTGTCCACACTCCATTTCATATCCCACCCACCTGTACAACCATCCACCAACTCTTCTCACACACAACCCACCACATTCTCCCTGCCTACTTGACACCCAACCTTGTATTATCTTCTTTGTCGATTTTACTGTCCATCTCCCTCCCGCTCCCACACCACACCACACCACACCACACCACACCCTTAAACACTCTATCCTATATCCACCTTGGCCTGTGTACTATGGTGTGTCCGTTCTGATCCCCTCAGTATGACCTTGGCTAGCCTTGACCACCACGTACTATATGATACTGTGTGTAATACAGTTTTCATTCTGTTTATGATCTCTCTCTCTCTCTCTCTCTCTCTCTCTCTCTCTCTCTCTCTCCCCCACATCCTGCTCAGGCCTCACCCACCCTATATGCCACTCACCCACCCTTAATCCCACTCATCAACCAAACACCCCACTCACTCATCCCGCACCCCACTAACCCACATTCTTAATTCAACTCACCCACTCCGCACCACACTCATTCACCCTACAGTACACCCCCACTCACCCACCCACCCATCCCACACCCCTCTCACCCACTTATCCATCCTACAACCCACCCACCCACTCACTCGTTCACCCAATCCACCTCACTCACCCAGCCCATTCACACCCGATTCTCCCCACTCATCCATCTAACAGCCCACATCCCATTCACCCACCCATCCAACCCACAATCCAAGCACCCACTCACCCTCCCTACCTACCCAGTTCTCCCCACCCTACCCGACCCACCCACCTCACTCACCCTGCCCACCCAACCCCAGACAGCCAGCACACCCTACCAACCCACATCCACTCAACCACCAGCCCTCCTCCTTACTCACCCAGCCCACCCACCCACCCATCCCACTCTCTCACCCAATCAGCCCACCCAACCTAACCTTGCCAGCCAGCCAGGACAATGAAGCAGTGTGAGGCCTTTGTGAGACACACTATTGGATCAAGGGCAGTTCGCTGGTCGTCCCCTGAGCCTGTTTGATGTTGTGATTTGTGACGTAATTGGATGACGTCATTTTATCCCCCTCTCCCCCAACCCCTCTCCCCCAACCCCTCACCCACCCTGAAAGAGAAACAAGATTTATCCGTCGGTGAAAAATTCGTCCGCTTTTGTCTAGCAGTGTACATATACACCTATATTGATACAACGGCTGTGTGTGTGTGTGTGTGTGACTATTAGTATACATAGAGAAGATGCCAAGGGGTACCAAATCGACTGTTTAGGTAACTGATACATTCAATCGTAATTTTTTTTAATATAATTACCGTATATAGTTTGTTATAGTGCGTTTTTTCCCAGCTGAGAAGAGATGCCCCGCCCCCTCCTCAAGAGTTACAGCTGATTGGCTGATGCAAATCTGTCCGATTTTGTCCTGAAGTAATGATGTGCAGTATTTCAAAACGAGTTTATTCATAATCGTTGGGATGATCGTTTCTGACGAGAAAGATAATTAGCTAAATTATATAAAGATACATATATTCATTATTTCAAACATGAGCACGTAGGAAGTTTATCAGAAATCTTATACATGAATTAACTGTTAAACTCTTGCAGCAAATTCACATTTTCTGAGGACGCATTTAATATATACTTATTTTTACCCACAATAAGGCATACTAAGACAAATTACGTATCAGTTATACTACATTATGCAAAATCTAACATTTTAAAAGATCAGAATCACATTGAAATATTAAACGGCCGTCATGCAGTGCAGGGCCGGATTCAGGAGTGGGCAAAGTGGGCAGCTGCCCAGGGGCCTTCACAATCTGGGGGCCTCCACATGTGCGGTAGTAGCTATATCAGGGCTGGTCGACTTGAAACCACATGAATGTCTCCAGTCATGTCTCACTTTTGTGTGTGTGTGTGTGTGTGTGTGTTGGGAATTTGTACACTATTAATTATAAATTTCTCAATATTCTAATTTCCTCAATATAACTGCATATGGCTTCAAATTTCTCCAAAGAAGTGTTCAAATTTCAACATTTTCCCGGGGGGCTTGCAGCGCCCCCCGGAACTCCCAGATGTTTAGGCTCGCTTCACTCGCCACCCCACCCTCTTGGGTAGTTATAATGAGGGGGGCCTCCACAAAGAGGCTGCCCATGGGCCTCCACAGGTCTAAATCCGGCACTGATGCATGGCGGGAAATATGACTGCGAACGACTTCCTATTTCCCGCCTCTGCAGCATGCTGAGTTGCTGACGGCTCGAGCGACCAAGCTACCCAGTCTGTCACATTCATCCACCAACTTTCAGAGCCGTTTAATATTTCAATGTGATTCTGATTTTTTAAAATGTTAGTTTTTGCATAATTGGGTATTACTGGTGCGTAATTTGTCTTAGTATGCCTTATTGTGGGTAAATTAAGTATATATTAAACGTCCTCCGAAAGTGAGAATTTGCTACCACAGTTTAACAGTTAATTCATGTATAAGATTTCTGATAAACTTCTTATGTGCTCATGTTTGAAATAATGACTATATGTATCAATAAAATTTAGCTAAATATCTTTCTCGTAAGAAACGGTCATCCCAACAATTATGAATAAACTCGTTTCGGAATACATTATTACTTCAGGACGAAATCGGACAGATTTGCAACAGCCAATCAGCTGTAACTCTTGAGGAGGGGGCGGGACACCTCTTCTCAACTGGGAAAAAACACACTATAATGATTTTTTTATACAGTATTTAATTATATATATTTCTTTGTTCATTATCATTATTGTAATTATTATTATTAATACCATTGCTGTTCCAGTTATTATTATTATTATTATTATTATTATTATTATTATTATTATTATTATTATTATTATTATTATTATTATTACTTCTGCATTTTACCTTAATTCCCTCATCATCTTATCCATACTATCACATTATATGTCCACAACTATTTATTATCTTTTTTCCGTTTCTTGTTCCCATCTTTTTTACCCTCGATTATCTCATTCACCTTCTTCATTATGCACAGTTCTTTATCACTTTTTTTCTTATTCCTCTCTTTGTCTTCAATCTTTTTCATCGATTATATTCTTACATCCTTATCATCTGTTCTTACGTCTGTTTATTTTACTTTATTTCTTTACACTCCACTGACGGTCACGTAGGCTGGGTTAAGTCCATATATCTTTATCACTTTAATTATTATTCCTCTTTTCTTTTTATCTTTATATATACAGGTTATTATCACCCTCTTGCTTATTCTTCTTTAGCTTTATTAGTACTTTTTGGCTTTTTTACTTCACCTGTCTCTAGTTCCCTCTTCTGTTTCTTCCTTCCTTTGTAAATATAATACCTTATTTACTTTATTTACTTTAATCAGTCTCCTTCTTCATTTATAGATATTACTTTATATCTTTACTTAATATTCTTCACTTACATATATTTCAGTTTATTTAATTCATCTTTTATTTCACTCAAATAATAAGTTCATGTTATTATCTTTGTTTTCTTTATCTTCGGCTTCACTTGTATTAATAAACTTGATTTTGTCCACAAGAACACATTTAGTCACTTTTCCCAGCTTATTAGTGTTCTCTTTTGTATAATAGAATGACTCTCTCCCTCTCTCTCTCTCTCTCTCTCTCTCTCTCTCTCTCTCTCTCTCTTCTCACCTTTATTCCTCACCTCTTCCTCTTCTCTCAGTCGACCCTCCCACCCCTCGTCAGGGCCCTTGGTTGGGTTAATCCAATAGTGTTCCCTCACTCCCCTCTGCCCAGATGAACCTAACGAATCGCAAGTCTAGTAGATCTGGTTATCGGTGGGGCAATGCCAGCCCCCAGCCCCGCCCCGCCCCGCCCCGCCCCGCCCCATCACTCGCCTGCCTGTTGGAACACTATATGGTAGGTGTACATTGTCACTGTTTTAGCAAATGTCTTTACTGTATTTTGCTGGGACACACACACACACACACACACCCAATTACGCCATGAAAGACTTCTCATTAGTGGTTAGGAGCCATGGAAATTACCTCTCCATGAAGTACAATAACACCACCTGACCAGTACCATACACCAAGACATACATACATTCATGCATACATACACACATACATACAAACATTGATACATACATACATAATTAACAAGTGTAGATAATTGTTTTCAATAAACTCTATAAATTAAAGACAAACTTGCCTAAAGTCTTCTGCGTGTGGCTCATGAAATTACTTTATTAGTTTAACCTAATTTCTATATATTTAATTATCTAGATTTAAAACTGATTTGTTTTTCTAAATCCAACGTTATTCTAATCTCTGTTATGTACTGATCTATCTTTTTATAGTAACAGTAGAACCTCGCAGTATTTCTTATCTTAGTTTTTCTTTTCTTTTTTTTTCTTTTTGCAGATGTTTACGCCAGCCATCAAGTCGCTTTTTTC